ATTCTGACACAGGCAAAGACATTATGTCAAATCCAGAACCTGGCGATTTGCAAATGGATAGGGGAAATGCGGGTATGATGGACCCCTTTTCATAGTCACCATATCGCTCGAAAATCAATTAACCTAGAATGCTCATTCATGGACAAATCGTTTCGTATATGATTACTCTTCGCCTTGTACAAACAATTTAAGTGATATTAAAAACTGCTCCGAATTTAATGGTTATTAGAAGAAAATAAGCAAAGGAACCATCATATCAGAATGTATAGATATCTTGATCCCTGTATGAGGATATGTTGGTCCACCTCTACTTCACACAAGTTTCATCGTTATTTTATAGAAATCAAATTTTAAAAGCATGAAATAGTATATTACATACCGAGTAGGGAAGTGTTTCATTACTGTCGAGAGATTTATATAGTCAATCGAGACGCGAAGCGTCGAGATTGACTATTAATCTCGAGACACAAATGAAAACTTTCCTCCGAGGTTTGTATAATATTTTATTTGCAAGCACACCATTAATTATGATTAGTCAATCAACTTTTGTAATATTAGAAAAATAAAACAAACATGCCAAAATGTGTCATTCACTGCTTTGACGTTTTTACCTGACACGTTCTCATTGTTGCCAGCAAAGGTAAATAAATTAGAGTGAGGGAAATCGGTGAGGGAAGTCGAATAGGGAAATCGGTGAGGGAAATCGAAGAGGGAAGTGACACAGGTAAAGTGTCACTTCCAAATTTTTAAAAAGTCAGTAATGACAAGATTACATATATGATTGCAAATAAAAAATATTTTTCTCCAAACGTCAGAAAAACGTCACATTGTTAACCCCTGTCAAGATTCAGAAATTTGATTTCTATGCTGCTAAGCAAATCCAGCAGGTTAACACCTGTCGAGGTGGTAGAAGTTTAATTTCTATGCTGCTTAGCAACCCCAGCGGCAGCAAAAGTACTTTTAGTGCCGCTCGTACTTTTACTGCCGCTCAACCATACACTTGCCCCCGAGCTTACCCCATTAGTTTGGAGAAAAAATAACGTGTTGCATGCGGAGTAGAAGCACTTTTTTGTGCTTCAGCAGTATTGCAAGCCTCACTACGTTCGGCTCGCAAGCCTACTGCTTCAGCACAAAAAATTAAAGCTTCTACTCCTAATACAACAATATACTATTATTTCTCTACTAACTAACCCAAACTAATCAAATACTTTTCTTATAATATGAGGAACATTTCACCCTGTTTCTACTATTTTAACTTAAGAAAAATAACTTCAAAGAAAACAAAAAGAAAAAGAAAATATTTATTCATGGTTTGCGTAAGTCACTGATAAAGGTTTTAATATTTCTGTTCACGTCGGCGCAATCCGTATGTGCCCATAATTTAAAATTTTGACACCTTATCCAAAAATCATCTTTTCGGGACTCGGAATAGAGACCATTGCAGTAAATGCATGATGCGTCACTGTCGTCGCTATCATCATTTTTTGAAAATGGATCCACATTTTCTGGTTCTTCCTCTATTTTTAGATTTCTTTTTGCCTTTTTTGCTGCTTTTCTCTGCTCAACCTCTCTTTTCTGTCTATGAATTTCCCTTGCTTCTTCTAAATTGGGTGTTGTATTAATAGCTCCGTGAGTCGACTTATTCACCCTTTTTCTTTTCTGCTGATTTGTTACCATAGGGATAGGTGATAGCTCATTTATTAATTTCATCAAATAGCTTTTTGGACTTTGATTAGCCGTTGAAGTTCTGGAGAGAGCTGAGTATGTTTGCGCTGAGTGTCATTGCAGGCATCTATCTGTGTAGCAGTACCTGCTGCCATGGGTACATCAGTATCTGCTGCCATGGGTATATCAGAAGTTTTTGATGGAGTAAACATCCATTTTTTTAAATCCACTTGTTGCATTGCCAACTGTTGCGGCTTTAGCATAGGCTTGGCTAAATATTTCTCCTACTTGGAAGTGGCTAACCACACGCTTTTCGTTTTGTAACATCCATGTTCTTATTGCCTGATTATAATAGGTTGTTAGCGGACCAAAGAAACTCACATCTAAGGGCTGAACTCGATGGGTACAGTGGGGTGGGAAGCAGAAAAGTAAGATATGGTTCTTCTTAGCATATTCGAGGACTTCAATATTTTTGTGGCTGCAGTGGCCATCTATAACAACAAAATTTTGTTGTGTTCTGAAGGCTCAGAATGTTCCTTGAAATGTGAAAGCCACTTTAAAAATATTTCCGTAGTCATCCACCCGTTTTCTTGAGCATATCCCACTGTACCCATTGGAGCTTTGTCTATTAGTTTCTGTTTCATGTATTTTCGCGGGAAAATCATTGCCGGTGGAATGTAATTTCCAACAGCATTCATTGCACATACCGCTGTAAACCTTTGTCCTTTCTCAGCACTTGTGGCGACCCCGACCTGCTTCCGACCTTTCGTAGCTACAATACGGTCAGTTCTAGATTGGACTGTTGTGAAACCGGATTCATCCATATATAGATAGACTCAGGGCGAAACTTGAATTTATCTAAAAGGACCAACAAGGCGTTGAAGTATTTCTCGATTTGAACTTTGTTGAAAGCTGAGGCACGTGCAATGGATGTTGCCTCTGGTGTTCTAAAACTAAGTCGCGGATGTCTTTTCAAAAAAAAACCTTCAACCACTGCCACCCTGCCATCTTATTTTTTTTGCTAAATGAATGCTTTAGTTTCAAAGACTCAGCCAATTGGAAGGCTAATCGTCTTATGTCAGACGAGGTGAGACCAAAAAGTCGATCGGACATTTCTGTTAAATGATTAGCCAGGCCCAATTCTACTTCTTCTGAAAAAACAGACTGATGGCCTCCCAAAAACCCTTTTTGATTGCCTTTGGATATTTTATTTTTCTCTAGAACTCGCCTCTTGAGCGTACTTCTCGGAACACTGTAAGTGTTCGCTGCACGCTTGTATCCCATAGATTTGGACTTAATTGTGTCGATGGCCTCTTGCATATTGTCCTCTGACCACCGTTTTCGTTGTTGGTTCGTGCCAGGCATCATTCTGATTGGGAACAAATATAAATATTAGAGTAGGTACTTACTGGTATGATGGCCTACTGAGTGTTGGTATGATGACCCCCTAGACCAACATAGCTTAAGGCCGTTTTACAGCTTGCAATTCTATTTGCAATATGCAAGAAACTTGAACGAGGGCATGCGCAGAAGTGAGTCAGCTGATTGGCTTCTGCAAGATTCTTGAAACTTGAATGGCATTGCATGCAATCGGTTTGGTGCCATTTTTCTTGAAGGTTTTCGTGCAAGCTGGGGAATTTTTAGCAATTATGATGCTTAAAATTGCTGCTATTGCTTTCTTCTTTTTATATCGACTTATATAATCACTTTTAATTTTTGGAAAATGCAAACATCAACAAAACAACATTAAAAACAAAAAAGTATGGTTAAGGTTAGAGAAAGAAACAATTCAAATTGCAAGGTGTAAAACGACGTGCAAGAAATCTTGAATGCAATTTTTTTGCATGCAAACAATTGCATTCAAGTTTTCTTGCAAGCTGTAAAACGGCCTTTAATATTGAAGGGACCAACAAACCCAAATAGTACCTACATAATGCACAAAATAGACGAAACATTGCTGAATACTAAATTTGGCGCCACGTTTTTTTGTGCGTTTATAGGTTATGTTCATCTCTATACAGAAACCGCATTAAATCAGTTCAAATAAATTAGCTGCAAGAAAAAAAATGAATTTAACTTACCGTCAGCAACGCCGTCAGTGAATATTCACAACTGAACAAAATTATATATAAACAATATTTCCGCTAATAATAATTGAAATCGCAAAATTTTTCGATGAACACGTCTCACACCCATTCAGCAAAAGAAACACTTGGCGAATCAACTTGCCAGATCTACAACCCAGTGATTTTGAAAGGTGGCCATCATATCGAGGGGGTCGACATATCCGAATTTCCCCTACAAGTGATAGCCAAAGTGAAGGTTCCGTTTCCAGTGTAACATTTAATCCATTTGCAGCTACTGACGATTTAAGTTCTGTCAGCAAAGAGCAAGAGTTCTCACAGGAGCTTCCACCACTACCTAAAGGAACTAACAAAATAGAGATTCAGTACCCTAGCACCAGCTCCAGCACGTACCTACACCAATACCAATAGGTACGAATGAAGCTTCCGATTTTTATACCAGCACTTATGACGATTTTGATGCGTTTGCAGAAAAATTCGATTCAGTCAAAGGCAGGACAACAAAAGGTGGAAAGAAGAAGGAAGCAAGGGACAGAAAAAGGAATGAAGGGAATTAGATACAAAACAGGATAGAATGGGGCGTGGGGCGATTTACATTATCGAAGGTATTGCAATTATTGATCTTCTAGAAAAATAGGTACCTATTTGTCTTTGGAGTGGATTGAAATTGCCCCATTGTACCGGAGATCGATCAAATCACAGACGAGAAAAAGCTCTCACAGATCTCACAAAAAAAAGGGAACAAAAATCCATAATATCATCATTTAATCCAAAAATATCATCGGAAAATTCATGATAATGAATTGATTCTCATTTTTGTTTCAGAGATGGGACAAAGTCAAAGTGTTTGTGGAAAACGCCACCCTAGATTGGTCCATATGCGTGCCAGATTCGTGCCAAGTCGACGACGTGCTGCCCCATTTCGAAAAGCTCATCAAAACTTTAACCAAAGGATTAAACATAGCGGTTAGCTTAAGAGAAACGAACTGTCTAACGGCAGCTGACATCAAAAGCTTAACTCGCATTGAGCTTATGATAATGTAAGCGACCCAGTTCTTGTATTGTGTTAGTGTGTATTGTTTTAGGGTTAATTATATTTGGGTTTTAGTGGCGGTCTTATCGTTTACGTTATTGTGGTGGCGTTGTTTACTTTAATGGACTTTTACAGTGCACAAGAAGAAGGTGAGTTAAAATTCTAAACATTCTAAAACTAGTTAATTCATTTGTTGTAGTTGAAGCAAGTGCTCTAATGAGAATATTTTCGGCCAAACGCAATACCAGAAATATATTCGCAAAAGGCAAAGGTACAAATTCGTAAATAATAATGTGTGTATCATGTCAGCTCGTTTATATTCAAACGACACGTATTTTTAGGCTCGTCAGATTTAGATTGCGTCCATGGAATACGTTTTATGAGCACTTGTTACGTTATTATAGGGCACCGATATCTTATGATGATGTTTTTTCCCGTAATCAACAGCCTTCACATCATGGAGGTGAGTCCAATGATAACTCTGTTACTATGTTTTTATTCATACATTTATTTTGATTGATTGGACTTGACATACTTGTTAGTTCGATGTCTTAAGTAGGTACCTAATTCAATTTTTGAAATTTGTAACCTAGTTATTAAATACTTCAATCTCGTATTGAAAATTGACGATAATAACTGGATATGAATCAGAGAAAAAATCATCATGTTTAAATGAGGTACCTAACTGGAATAAGCAAAACCTAAAAGAATGATTTCAGTTAAAGAAGGGTATGAAACTATATCTCTGATACTGAGTAAAATGACGAAGACAATTGAGAAACTATTCAAGATTTGAGGCAAGAGCAATTATGTTTTTGCAAAAATCATGACACCAATGACATTTTGATCCGAGCCAAACAAAAGATTTGAAGCATCTTCATGAAAACTAATCGTATGGATCGGAAGATCTTGCTGATCACTCAACTGCGCTTCTTTTCTTCATTTACCGCATAGTTTTTGACATTATTAGTTAAATTGAAGAAGTAGTCTATATATCAAAATGGAATTGAAATTCAATTCAAAAGAAAAACTCTAAGTCTTCCACATATACTTTAATCGTCCCTAAATGTTTCGGGATTAGTTAATCCCATATCATCAGGAGCAATAAATTAGCTCATATATTAACAGGGATGGATATCATAGGCTGCCAGATTATGCTACAAAAAATTAAATGAGTTTAGGTTTAATTCTAATCTAAACTTAAACCTAAACCTCCCTATTAATATTATCAGCTAATTTATTGCCCCTGATGATGGGATTTACTAATCCCGGAACATGTAGGACCGTTTAAAACGGATTAAAGTACCTATTTGTGGAGGAAGACTTCGATTTTTTCTTTTGAATTATTAGTTAACTGATAAAGTTTTCACTTATTAAAATTTTTCTTTCTCGCTAATATTATAAAGACAAATTTAACATTTTCCACCCAAGTATTACAAATTATTCCTTTTTCAAGTGGATTTTGTTTGTAAGAAGTACAGCAATAACGGGAGGCACTCTCTGCGTCGACAGCTTTTTTATGATAAGCGGTATGTTAGTGAGCTTGGGATTTTTCGAGGAAACGTCAAAGAGAAAAATGAACTGGTTCATGTTTTACTTCCATCGCTACATGAGAATCACGCCTCCTCTTGCTCTTGTAGTTTTATGGTAAAAATATATACAAATTTTAAAATTCAACTCAAAATACACCTTCAGGTATTGTACGTTGATGCAACATTTTGGTTCGGGACCTCTCTGGAACGACATGCTGGAAGTGATCCAGAAACCTTGCCAGGATTATTGGTGGGCCACAATAATGCATATTCAAAATTATGTGCATCCTTATCCTTTGGTGCTTTATTTTTGCTAGTTTGACTAATACTTGAGTTAATAAATGTTTTAGTGTTTGACTCAAGCTTGGTACCTCACCTGCGACATGCAATACTATTTCTTATCACCCATCATCCTGGTACCACTAATAAAAAATACCACGCTTGGTTATGCAAATTTGATTTTAATGTATTGCATTAGCGTATTTGTTAATTTCTATTTCGCTTGGATTAATAAGTACAATGGCGGAGTCCCTGTAACGTATGTATATTATTTTCAATAGTGAATTAGAGATATGGGAATTACTAATTTAGGAATCAGCTGTTTTCTACAAAATACTTCCAGCACCATTATATAGCACCTCATACAAGAGCCTCTACTTACATAATTGGTTTAGGTTTTGGACTTGTAGTCTTTAAACAGAAAACAAGCAGGATAAAAATCGGAAATGCTTTAGCTATAGCTGGATGGTTAATTTGCATAGCTACAATGCTAGCTTCACTAGTTGGTAATAGAATATTTGATATTTTAGTAGAAGTAGTCAGCAGCAAAACGTTACATTTACTAAACTGAAAAATTCTAGGTTGTTTGGTTTTCTTTTGGGAAGATCACGATTATAATAGAATCGAATCGACAATATTTATAGCTATATCAAGATCGACTTGGACTTTGGGTATCGTTTGGATGGTATGGGCTTGCATAAATGGATATGGAGGTGGATATTTTTGTTCGGCAAATATGAACTTATATATTGTAATTATTATAGGGCCAATAAATTGGGTGCTATCCCTGCACGTATTTAGAGTTTTGGGCAAAATTAGCTACGGAATGTACTTATTGCACATGGGAATGCAATACATGATAAGCGGTGCTGCCAAAATGCCTGGATATTTTTCAGATTTTGGTTCTGTAAGAATATATTTTAGATTTTAGTTGAAACTACTTTTCGAGTATTTTGTTTTTTTAGGTGGCAGCTGCTTTGAGCGATCTTGTCATTATGGTGATTGCTGGATATATTTTTACTATTTTGTTTGAAGCTCCTTTGGTCCAAAGCTTATCATTTTTGGCTAAAAGAGGTATACTTTTTAACATATTTTCTTATCTTTATGTATTCATAAATTGTTGTAGGGAAAATTCGTAAGCCTACAGTTAAAGATGCTGTGGTTAAAGTGCAACCTTTGGAAAAATTTTAGTGCTTTTTACAGTCGCCAAACTATCGAGAATCAATAAAGATGCAAACCTTTGAAAATAAATTTTGTTTTAATGCCATCAATATCCCTAATAATAAAAAGTTGTAACTCTTAGTCTATATACTATCCTCACATTTTACGCTTCTCAGGAATAGGCGAAAAAATTTTTTTCTCTCTCACACCTCCGACTTATTGTCCCCATGTAGAAGGCTTTATTGTGCTTAGCCCGTTAACTTTATTCTAACCAGTATTTTGGTGCCTTTTATTAGATTGTATAGGTCTTTTACTCGGTGGTGTTTCATTATTGTTTCCAGGACTACGTTCGGTTGCCCGAAAATGCTGTTTCTTCTGCGATCCAGAGTCTCGCAGTTTAGCAGGATGTGTCTGGCTATGTCTTGAGTTCCTTATTGCAGAGTTTGCAGTTAAGGTCTCCGTCATACAGGTTCATCCTCTTTTGGTGGACCTTTACCGATGTGTACTCTGTCCTCATAAGGACCCTATAGTCCTTAGTTGGCTCCTTCTCATTTGTAGCAGTTTTGCGGCCCTTTCCCTGCATGGTTGTTCGATGAACCATAATTCTGCCTGGAAATTGTCCAGTAGTGTCAATGTTCTTTACGAATCCAGTCTTTGATGTAGTAACTTCCGGTCATACTTTTTAGTATGCCTAAAGCCGGCTCTGGCTAAGTTTTGTCTCTGATCCTCTCTTTGCGAGTTCGTAAGCTTTCTACCTTCGATTCCTCTGTGTCCTGGCACTCAGATAAGTTTTACCTTATTTTGTTCAGCCAGGGCCCAGAGTTCTTCCTGGCATTCCCATACTAATTGATGAGACTATCTGGTTCGAAAGGGCCTTCAAAGCCGCTTGACTGTCGGACATTCTTATGATGTGCATGTTGGCTACGGCTCTGCTGAGAAACAGAGGCATGCTCCCTCAGTGCATAGTGATTGCTGTACCGGTCTTGCTTTTTGGTCTCCGGTATGCCCTGTTCCCATTCAGTTCTGCTTGGGAAGCTGAAGTCGAACGGTCTGTTGAGGCAGTGTCGCCTTGACATGTGGTTCGTCTTCATGTTGAAAATATCTCTCCCCGCAAGTTCTGCGATTGCCATGTGTCTCGTCTTTTTGCTGTAATCGGTTGCCGGTTGCAGCCTGTACGCTTCCATCCTTGCTTCCTCCTGTATCACAATGTGCAGAGGTGGGAGGTCTAGGAGGGTGTACATGGCGACTGTAGGTGTGGACGGCCTTCCTCCCATTATTTTTAAGCAGGCCAGTCTTTGCATTTTGCTAAGTTGGCGCATGGAACTTCTCTATTGTGTCTTTGGCCACCACACCGGGTGCTTATTCTTGAAACAGGGCTTCCCAGGAGAACGAGTTTTCCATCTTTCTCAATGATATTCAAATGATGATATAAATAATAAAGACGGAATACTCGTTCTCCTGGGAACGCTGCTCCCCTGTTTCAAGAATAAGGACCCAGAGATGCGTACGTGAAGATGGGTTTGGCCATCATGCTGTATGTCCAGTACAGCATGTCCGGTCTCAAGCCCCATAATGTTCCATGCAGGCGTCTAGTTATCATGAGCGATGCTACCGCTTTTTTTGTGGTGTTTTCATGATGCTGATACCAGGTCAATTTTGAGTCCAGTTACCCCAAGGTACTTGACCTTGGGGTATTTGACCTCGCTCGGAATCTGTGTTTTCCCCCTTTAGCCTATGAGCACCTTAAGCACACCGGCCACCACTAGATTCGACAGGAGCGGGGATAAGAAAAATAGGTTACATCAGTAGGTATACATAACCAAGAAACCAAAATAATCTAGAAACCAACTCTATCAGTTCTACATAAAATTTTTGGTGATACACGCAATAATCAATGAAGTATCTATGGCTTCTAGCCTAAATTGTACAACTTCCACAATAATCTAGATACTCTTTCATGGGCTTTCTATGAGCTCGACATTAAATTTTACGTATACCAGAAAAATTAAGACCCTATATATAGATTCTAATGTAGCTTTTAGATTAGATTTAAGCGCTTTCACAATAATCCAAACACAAATTACATTTAATTTTATAAGTTTGATATACCTACATAGATAAAAGTCTAGGTCCTACATTGAATTTAACAGCAACAGCTTCCACAATGATCAAGAAACCCTTGTATTTTTTGGGTTCCTGATTGATTTAGAAACTCCATGACGTCTCTAAAGCCTTCAAATTAAATTTTACAAATTTCACAATAATCTACGAATGTTTTATGACTTCCAAATTGAATTCTACAGTTTCCTCAATAATCTTTACTTGTGTGGATTGTAGTCCACAATAATCCAGAGGAATGGAATGTCTATGTCTCCTACATTAATTTCTACAATAATCAAGACATACTTTCTCTAGGACAGCTCTACCTCAAACTTTATAGGTTACTTCGATCTACATTCTATGGCTTCTATATTAGGTTTTACACAACAGCCTCCTCAATAATCCACTGAGTATTTGATTTAATTCTAGCTTCAGGGTAGCCGGTTCCATTCCAGATTTTGATGAGTCAAAAATGAGCTTTATGAATCTCTATTGTGGCATGTGAAATGCTACAGTTCGTAATTGTTCCCTTTTCTTTCATGTATTATTTTATTAATTAAATTATCGCCTTGAATGCTGACATTCTGGTGGTTGCCATTAATAAAAGTAGGTTTCTCTCGAAAATATTAATAGCAATTATTAACCTAGAGGGCACGATTTTCGTTTAAATTTGAAGAACCAATTTTAGTACTAACAACTTTCCGTTGGCTATTTTATGAAGGGAAGCCAGCTTATCTTTTTCTCCGTCCCTTTCAAATTTTGTCGTTTGTCCTGAAAGGTCGATCCTGGCCTGGGGGCAGCCATGTTCCTCAAGTGTGATTACCGTTCTCGTAGAGAAAAGTACCTTATCGGCCATCAGGCACTAGTTCAACGAAATAAAGTTGCGTAAGACAAAGTTCCGTTGATTACCGAGAAAATTTAAATCAAAAGCCTTGATGTGATGACCGTTTTTTTTTTTTCAAGTTTAAATTTCGAACTCCTCGTGGTAATAAGTCCTTTTTATTTTATTTTTTTAAGTAGGTAATTGTTGTTCATGGAATGCCTTTATTACTTAGGGTTTTCCGAGGAGACGTTTCTTTCGAAGAGCTCGTTTCTTTCGACGAATCCGTTTCCAACAAGCCCGCATTTCTAGAGATCTTCATTCTCGTGGAGTATGGGCATATGGCGTTTGAAGAGATTCCTAGAGGAATGAAGTCCCTCACTTATTGACTCCTGTACCTCCACATTTGACGATAACTAAGGACTTCTAGCCGCTATGTACCTTGATTCAAGTCTAGAATCTGCAACTTCCCTCGTCAAATGACAGCAAATGGATGGCTACTATACTACACCTTTTGTTGGAATTGAGGCTTGTATAGAGTTTCAATTATAACTTTTTTATAGGAAAACTATTTTATGATCAATTAGCATAATTGATTGAATTTTTACTGATATTACATTTGAATATTTAAAATTTCAATTTCACATTCTTGACACCGAAGTGAACTTTAAATCACTATTTCCGATTTTTGATTTATCAAATTTATTATAGATTTATCTTTAAATACTTAACTTTTGGTACCGCCATGTTTAAAAAATGTATATTTTATTGATCATAATCATTAAAATCTGAACTGAGGTGAAGGTTGGACAATATGTTCCAAATTTAAAATTATTGAGTAAGTACCTATATCGTCAAAAATTGATCAATTTTTCACCTGGGTTCTATAACTTATATACCTGTGGATTTCGGTTAGGTATATCTCTTTTATACCTTCAACGTTTAACCTTTGATTTCATACAGTTTTAATTTGATTTTAGTGATTTTATTTTTCTGGATGCAGCTGACCATATTTATCCATAGAATATTATAATTTTTAATCATTCATTTTTTTCATTATTATTTTCTGGAAACTTAAATCCTTCATATTTTTATTTCAAATTAATGATATGGCTAGCGACTGTTAGGTTTAATTATGTGACAACTATAGTAATGTATCTTGTGATGAAGTGTGTTTTTTTTTAAAGATAAAAGTCAAAATGACATTATGTTGGCAATACAATGTAAAATTGTCAATGCTTTCAAATTTTTTATGTAGAAAAGGCACGAAAAGGCTTGTGTTGCCATAGTTACTAAATTTTTGACTTGGGAAATTATCTTTAAACAGAAAAACAGACTTTATCATTTTTTTGGTTTGGTGGATTCAATTGAGGGTTAAACCTCTTTTTTTTTAAATTCTCCGAACTGTGGATTAAATTTGATATCAACGTAGAATTATACAGGGTGTCCCAGAATATGTGAGCAATCTCTCGGATTCAGATAGAACACAAAAAAATATATGACAACTTCCTTTAAAAAAAAATTCCTACGGCCCCCCCTGCGAAGTTACGTGCCCCTAAAGGACGCCTCTGAAAATCGGTTTTTTGTTGATAACTTTCAAAATACTTCGTGTATTTTTTTTTTCTCTTAATGTGATGGATACTAGATAAGACCCCTTAAAATGGACCCTCTCAAACACACGACCAATCTAGTTGGCCAGGGACGGACTAACTTTAACGCAATAATGTAACTGAGGAAATATTAGTAGAAAGGATTCATTTTCACTGTCGCGAAATAAGGGCTAATATTGAAGTATTGTCGAGAGTCGAACAATCTTTCATTTAAATAGGTATGGAATGCATAAGATTAGAAGGATCTCGATCATGTTGAGTCGACATAAAAAATTATTTAATAAAAAACCCTTAATACACAAAAACAGATTTTTCTCGAAACCAGCTCATTTTTTTGACATCGAATAAGCGTACTTTTTTTCTAGTTCAAGGTTGAAACTATCTAAATATTATTGCTATGCCTATATCATACAGGGTGTAAAAAAATTTAGCATTATTGTGTTAAAGCTAGATCATCCCTGGCAAACAAGATTGGCCAAGTGTGTTTGAAAGGGTCTATTTTAAGGGGTCTTATCTAGTATCCATCATATTAAAAGATAAAAAAAATTACACGAAGTATTTTGAAAGTTATGAACAAAAAGCTGATTTTTAGAGGCGTCTTTTAGGGGCACGTAATTTCGTAGGGGGGGGGGGCATATGATTTTTTTTTATGGGAAGTTGTCATGTTATTTTTTTGTGTTTTATCTGAATCCAAGAGATTGCTTACATATTCTGGAACACCCTGTATGTACATATACATATACACTAATTTAATTTAAAAATTATTTGATTGTTTTATTAGTTTACCTATGTCAAGATTTGGTTGAGTTGTATGCCTTATTTATTTCATTTTCAGAATTATCTATTACTGTTTGCTAATTATTTTTTTACTCGTGTTTCTGAATTTTCACACTAATCACACTCCAATATTTTATGTAATTTAATTATTTATTTTTACAAATTCAGTGGCGCCCCTGCAATTCTATATTTATTAAACTATTGACCCACCCCTAATAATAATTCGCTGAGCAAACTGAGCCTCCTGTCAATTTGTTAACAAAAGGGGTTACACTATATGGATCTGTTGTAAGAAGAAGTAAGAAATTAGACTTTCTCACTTTTCAAGCTCAATTTCAGCTTAGAATAGCCAGGAACAAGATTTCTACGCCTCCTTGTAACTTCAGGGAGGTACCGATCCTAGAACCAAGAATTCGATTTTGTAATCAATTCAATGATCTAGAAACAGAGTTCCAATTCACTCTCAGCTCTCGTAGAGCCAGGAATAAATTGTTTTCCTACGATCACATACGAAAATGACATTTTCGCACTAGTTGGTTCTTTGGAAAGCGCTGAATATCACACGCGTGCCGAAAGTACTTTCAATACGCGTTCTAAAAGTACTTCAGCACACGTGTGGAAAATACAAATGACAATTTACTTTCAAAACGTGTGTTGAAAGTACTTTCAGCACGTGTGTTGAAAATGGAAAGAAATAAAATAAGGGAAAATTTGCGTAAATCGCTTTGTGGTCGTAGGAAAAATAATGTACCGCACTTGTGAGAAAGCGTCTTTCATACACTCGTGTGATTATCGCATTCGGCTACCGCCTCGCGCGAAAAAACACTCGTGTGCAATTTGTCACTTTCTACACTCGTAATGTAATATACTATACATCGTTTCTAGCTCAATTTTAGATCTATCTAGGTAGGTCAAAAATTAGCTTCTGAAACGTCTCTAGCTCAATTTAAAGTCTAAAAATAAGATCTGGAGTTCTGGTTTCATTTCAACCTCAGGAGAGCCTGGAATAAGATTTTTACGCTTCTCAGAAGATCTCCTATGAATTTCAGGGGTGATGTATAAATGCGAGAAGGAATCGCCATTTCCTCAATAATCTATAGAATCAGATAAATTTTTACGCTTTTCTATAGGATTACTGCTCTGTGAGTCAAAAATGGTCTAAAAATCAAAATCTTAGCAATATAGAAACAGCGCTTTAGGAGAGCTGAGTTTAAGATTACATATTTTACCATTTCAAGTTCAATTTCAGCTCTGGGCTCTGGGTGTGTGAAAATGAGCTTTTCAAACCTTTTCAATCAAATGTTGCAAAGATCAGATTCACAAGAATCGCCATCTACTCCTCTTTATGATGAAGATACCAGTCAACCTCTAGATTTCCAAGATTAGTATATCTACACAGGTAGAGGATGGTTTTGAGGCCACCAAATAGAAAGAAAATTACCGGTCGAAGATTTTGGAAGACTTTTGTAAAATTATGCCATCAGCCTGATTGTGTGTTGTTTAAATTGTTTAATCTTCAAAGTGATAAGGTTCCGTTCCAGGAGCTTCTTCTTCCACCTTGGTATTCAGTTTTTGACATATGTAGGTGCTCAGCAATATGACCAGTTTGGTGAAATATTCACCGTAAAGTTGCAATATATTTCCTACAAAGAACGACCAGGAGTTAGGTCAGGACAAGTCAAAAAAGCCGAAAGGATTACAAATAAACTAAGCCAATTCGCGGTCTACGCTATACAAGAGGAGTGAGGAATTTGTCAGCGATTTGAAGAAACTTGGGCTTCCGGTTGAGCACACTCCACGAGTGTCTCAGCTAATGAAATTGGGCTCGTTGAATTTCGAAGACTTGAAGCAGTTTTCGTTTTACGTGGAAAAGGCTCTATTTAAATTGCAAACCCATTGCACTATAATTATTTGAATAAATTTCAAGTTCAAAATTGAAATTATAAATAAGTAAAGAATGGCCAATCTTCTACCATCGCGAGGTTCCTGAACATAAAAATTAATTCAAAAATTAGGCAAGGAAAAAATATTACAAGCCAGGCTAAAGTAATTAAATTGACCCGGCCAAGTGATAGATTTATATTAAAAAAAAAAAAACATAATTTATTGCCGACACGAATTCGGCATCCTTTGGTGTATGTGGCCTCACATTTTTACGATATCCGTTGACCCCGATAATCAAGGATATCTTCGGTTGAACAAATAGGTAATTATATTTCTTAGCAATAGCGGGAGGAGATTTTAGGACAACGTTTCGAGAGGACAAGACTTCATGGTGCTATTTAAGCAATCAGGTAGTGAGAGCAAAAGGTCCTCACCAGTCCAGATCAGTTCGAGATAGTCTAGAATCGGGAGTAGTTTTTTGAAGCTCTCTAACTCAATTTGAACTCTTCTTTTGCCTGTCTCAATAATTTAGGAGCTCATGTATCTATTCTGATTCTTGGAGAGTCAGGAATAAGATTCTTACACTTTTTTGGAGATTATATTTTAGGTATAAAGTCGAAAAATACTAGAAGTCGGAATGGCCATTATTAACGGATAATTATTAAAAATATCGACACTTATAAACAAGGAACTTTATTTTTTTCAATACTGATAATGACAACAACTTCCCAAATAACAATTTTAATCCCTCTAAAAATACCAAGTCTAATCCACTCTTTTGCAATACAAATTCCTCGGGTATTTCGAAATAATACCTTTCAGCAACTTATTGTAAAATCTTTGATTTTTTCTAACGTAAGGTTTACGCCATGATTCATCCTTCAAGCGTCTAGATTTTTTGATTCCGGGCCAATGGACCAGGAAGGCACCATCTAGAATAACCATTTTGTATCCCGCCAAGCACATTTCGAGCATCTAAAAGAGAATTTCAAAGATTCAATAGATTTTAATTATTAGTTGCTTGCCTGCAACATTTTATCTTGAAATCCTTCCCAAGAAAGTTGTTCATTGTACAAGGGCTCGTTTTTGGTACCAATAAATATTGGTTCCCAACGTTCATAAGGAATTTCTCTTCTTGTTTCTAAAAGAGGCTAATTTTGTTTTGATTAAATATAAAATGTATTGAGTAAACATCTCTCACAGTAATAGCATCTCCAGGATCAGTAGTCTTCCATTGTTCCAGGCCTGGAAACTTTTGACAATGCGTACAAGTAAACTGATGAAAATACACTGCTTTTTTGGAAACAATCAAATCCAAAAGTTGAGCTTTAGTTCGGGGAATATTTTCGGTACTTTCGACTTCGAAAACTGGCACTACAAATACGCGTTTTTCGCAGGACGATTCCAGACAACTAAAAGTGTCGGTCATTTCCAGAAATCTGCTGGCCAAATTTTCACTTGGCATTAGCTCTATATCACAAACAAGCACGTATTCTGTATAGGAGGCTTGCCTTGCCACGTTCCTGCACACGTTTATTGGATACCAATTATTGTTTGATGGAGCTACAAAATTAATGGATAATATAAGACAATTTTATGGTTGCTTTGCTCACATTTCTCCTCGGCAAAATAACTAATATCACTATCTGGTCCGGAATTTAGTTGTTCTAAATTCAGGATATCACAATTAGCCGGAGCTATCGTTCTAGTTGACGTAAAATTGAGCTGGAAATCTTTTCTAAAAAAAAAAAACATTTGTGTTTATTGGTCATGGATGCTTACAAATTTACTCACTTGAAAACCAAATGTAAAGAAACTCTGGACATTTCAGGAATGCAATAGCAGAAATGTAGCATGTGTTCTAGAATTAGTTTGACGTCTTCGGCGTCTGCTACGTAAGCCGCTATACTAACAGGTCCTTCCCAGTATCTAGAATTATTGTCAATCTCACAAAGAGCCGTTTTTAGAAGAATTGATTATCAAGATAAGTTTATGAGGATCCATGAAAAAAAAACCTGGATATACCAAGGAACCTTTTGGACTGTTCAATTCCCCTACTTCATCTCCTCTGAGAAGATAAAGCAGGGGAATTGAACAGTCCAAAAAACCCTAAATATCATGTAGACAAAAAAGTAGGGTTGGTTAATTCACTTAAAAAGGATAATATTTTAAGTATATTTATTGCAGAATTGCAGGTTTGGATGGCCAGATTGGGATCAAAAAGTTTTAATTTCTCCATCCGCCGATGAAGAAGTTTCATGAGCGTTTTCTAATGTCTTTTTGGGTGAACATTAAATGCGTCAGGGTAAATGATGACTTGCTGGTTGGCATATAAAGTAAATAAGAAGTATAGAAATAATAGTAGAAATTGCTCTCAACTGAGTCTTCTAAACGTCAGAAGACTCAGTAGGAAGAGGCTCGACTTGGAATAATAGTTCAAAATGTGATTATCTGGTTCTTGATCTATTGTATAATTTTTCAAGAGCCAATCAAGGGCGGCTGGAAGTGAAAATATTGATTAAAACCGGCACAAAAATCGCTATGAGTAGTCGAAATTTTAATTATATAGCGGCTTTTGAATTTTGATTGCCCCTTGGAAAAATCGTCTAGTGAATCCAGAGCCGATAATAGTTCAGAATTTGACTATCACCGGCTCTTGATTGGCTTCAGGAAAATGTTCCAGCGAATCAAAGAGCCGGTTATAGTTTAAATTTTGTCTATTACCAGCTCTTGATTTGTTTTCTAGAAAATCATTATCAAAAGGTCACACTTTTTTTAAAAATTCCCAACCCCAAATCTAGAATAAATTATTCGAATTTTACCTCACCACTTCCGAGATGTACAAAACGAATTCCTTAGTCAAATGCGTGGCATAAGTAACTTCAGGCTGATCCTGATCAATTCGCCCCTCGATAACGTCGTGAAGGGTGTGGTAAGGGCTGTTTTCTTCGAACTCTGGACTACCCGATATGGCATCTTTGGAATAAAAAAGTTGAGCTGGTAGTCTGAAGTTTAGTTTGCAATAGCCGTCTTCAGATGACGTTGGCATGATTTCTTTTAAGTATTCTATACAAAGGAAATTTTATTAATTTATATATTATAACGTATATAGTTATAATTACCTCCTGGAAGTCTTGAATTAACATTTTCAACTATTATGTTATTTACTTTGGTAACTTTAACAGTTTGTATTGCGTTTAATAAAAGGAAAAATAGTACAAATAAAAAAAACGTAATTAAAAACGAAAAGAATCTTGATTTAAATGGTCTTTGATTGTTGAGCATTTTGAGCAAAGCACATACTTATGTAGGGAAATCTGGAAAAAAGTGTTTTGTCACTAAATATAATTAATTAGGAAACAGCTAATTACATATGTATTACATCACTAATTCTGTAATAACCACAAACACAACTATTAATTAAGATAAAACCACCACTAACACACGTTTAGTTACGACTGCGTTTAACACATTAAATCCACGATTACATTTTTATAAACCATTTCACAATAACAGTTTTATTTATTTTCCCATGCAGCGATCAAAATAATTACATTTTCGAGCTTGAATTTTCCATTGATTCGGTGGCGCTAGCTACCGGGAAATTTCAACATTTCTCGAATGCGGAAAATAAGACGATCAATATTTCAAATAGGGGAAAGTGAAAGACTTTCAGTTTTATACAAATTTATATATGAAAATAAATTTATATTTACATTTAAAAATAAATATTCATTTCTCCTATAATTGCTACCTGTGATGATTGATTCTTACTAGGATTTCTTCTTCCCTCTAGGTGGATTTTCAAAATTATATTCGAAGTCGGCATTACATTCCTTGATATTAGGATAGTGCCTCAAAAAATCGGCAACTATTTCTTTGAAGAATTTCTGATTTACCTCGACAAGAGCCGGAAAACGATTTTTGTATACCTCCCTCTTTATGCCTGGCCAATGGCAAAGAAACGCGTTATCTAGGATCACGTAGGTGTAATTTTGTAGGCACATTTCTAAAGACTAATAAAAATATTCATTGTTAATAATTATTAATATTAGATAGATAATTTTTATATTTACTTGGGTCATTTTATCTTGTAAACCTTCCCAAGATAATCGTTCAGAATAAAGCGGTTCTGCATTGGTACCAATAAAAAGTGGTTCCCATCTATGGTAAGGATCGTGCCTTTTGACTTCAAGTAAACCCTAAAAATAAAACAAATTACACATGGACATTTCCACCCTAGTCTCGGGCACAAACAGTACTGGAAATTATAGGCAGTACCTAAATACATCGTTTGAGAAACCTCACTTTACTTGCAAATTACTTTGGAGGTGGTTTAGAGGGTTAAACTAATAATTGCGATTCATCGAAAAAAGGGTTTCTGTGAAAATATAGACATTTTTACCCTAGTCTCCGGCACAAACAGTACTGGAAATTATAGTCAGTACCAAAATACATCGTTTGGGGAACCTCACTTGACTTGCAAATTACTTTGGAGGTGGTTTAAGGGGGTAAACCTAATAATTGCGATTCATCGAAAAAAGGGTTTATGTGAAAATATGGACATTTCCACCCTAGCCTCGGGCACAAATAGTACTGGAAATTAAAGGCAGTACCAAACTACGTCGTTTGGGGAACCTCACTTGACTTGCAAATTACTTAGAGGGTGGTTTAAGGGGGTAAAACTAATAATTCCGATTCATCGAAAAAAGGGTTTATGTAAAAATATGGACATTTCCACCCTTGCCTCGGGCACGGTACAAACAGTCCTGGAAATTATAGGCAGTATCAAAATACATCGTTTGGGAACCACACTTGACTTGCAAATTACTTTGAGTGTGTTTCAAGGGGGTAAAACTAATAATTGCGATTCATCGAAAATAGTATATTGTGTATTTAGGTGGTAAAAAGCAGGGTCGGCGCTAGCGATTTCGGCGCCCTAGGCAAATGAACTGACTGCCGCCCTACTCCAAGACAGAAATTTTTATATGGTGAATTGGGAACAAAATAACATAAAGCTGCGACTAGTCTCAATCGATAGGATTTATGGTCCCAATGAACATACTGAAAGTCCCCTGACCTCCCCCTAGGGGAACATTGTCAAAAGGGCGCTGCCATCTTGGATTTTTGACATTTTTTGCTTAATTTACGTTTTACTCAAAATCTACTCATTTCTCGAGAAAATATGAAGAGAGATAAATTAAAAAGCACAAAAAAACCTTTTAAAAAAGTTATTTTTGGACTTCCTAGGTACCACCTTCACTGAGATAGGAGCCAACGAATTACTGTTAAAAAACAATTTTTTGCCTAATTTTCTTTTTACTCATAAACCAGTCACTTTTTAAGAAATATGATGAGAAGTAAATCGAAGAATTAAATCTGAGGTACATAGGTATACCACTAAACATCCGCGGTAGTACCCTTACCAAGAGAGAAGCCGATGGAGTACCGCCGACATAGGATTTTTTTATTTTCTTTTTGAGAGAAAAGCATTAGCAGGAAATTTCAAGAACGTGACTTAAAACATATTTCTGATATGAATACTCGCGTGCGGAAAGTGTCACTTTTCCACACGCGATTACAGTTGGCCGAACGATGCGAAGCGGAGTTCTGCCAAACAATCAAGTGAGGAAAAGAGACTTTCCGCACGAGTATTTAACGATATTTTTTGTACTAGATGAAAATTGATACTTGTATTTCTACTAATTTCAAATACAATTTTAGATTTTTTCCCTTTCCGCACTAGTACGGAAAAGTAATGCGGAAAAGTCACACTTCCAAAACTGAAATGCGTGCAGAAAGTGGGCTTATCCGCACGCTAGTAAAAACACCTTTCCCGGCATTTATTAAAAATCCTCAAGTTTGTTTTCTTGACTTCCAGTCATTAGGTTATATAACATAGGTAGTGGGCGTACTGTGAGTGATACGATTACGAACCATGACCGCAAACAGCTGACTCCGATATCGCCCTTACCGAAGTATTACATACGGATTAGATTTGGATTCGATACGAAAATACGAGAATAGTCTGGGTTTGAGGTTTGAAATATGTTTGTTTTATTATCCGGTGCAAGGTCTATGGTCTATACCATTTCCAGTATTATTTCACACTAGTGAAATTTGATTTCAAATTAATGAAAACTAAATTCACATCAGTGAAATCTAATTTCGCTCAAATGAAAATTGATTTCAAAGTAACGAAAACTAATTTCTCACAAACGAAATTTGATTTCACATTTTTGAAAATGAATTTCAAACTGATCCTAATTAATACTCATTTTTTCAAACATTTAGCATTTCAATTTGAAAAAACATCAACAATTTAACGTTATTTATTTCAACCTAATGAAATAAACCCACTGAGTTTAGATAACATAAAATACAATCATGAAACAACAATAATAGTTATGAATTATTTAAATAAATTAAGCTTCAGTTTGGCAAATCACGTGGAAAGGTATAATGCAGCTATCTGGCTATCTCAAGAGTGAGAAAACTCAACTGAAGTTCAATTTATTTAAATAATTTATAATTATTATTGTTGTTTCATGATTGGATTTTATGTTATGTGAACTCAGTGGGTTTATTTCATTAGGGTGAAATAAATAACATTTGTTGATGTTTTTTCAAATTAAAATAATAAATGTTTGAAAAGTGAGTATTAATTAGGGTCAGTTTGAAATTCATTTTCGAAAATGTGAAATCAAATTTCGTTTATGAGAAATTACTTTTCGTTACTTTGTAATCAATTTTCATTTCAGCGAAATTAGATTTCACTGATGTGAACTTAGTTTTCATTAATTTGAAATCAAATTTCACTAATGTGAAATAATACTGGAAATGGTATAGTGTGATTGGCTAAATTCCAAGGATATATAGAAAAGGTAGGCAGGTTCTCCAGTAACTTCATGTCATATCATCTTTGTTTATCTATTGTCAAGTACGCTGTCTCTTTTATGGAAGAGTATGTTCATTAAAGAGAAAAAAATTCACGGTAAGTAAGATGGGCATAAAGGAAACGATTTTATTTACAATCATCCATGTAATGTTGACTTTACTGTCTTTTAAAAAGTTCGAAAATTACACTTTTTTGACCTTTAGTTTCGGCCTACGGGTCGAAAGTTTAACTTTCGACCCGTCGGCCGAAAGTAAATGAAATTTTAAAAATTTATTGTGTTTATTTACGACTAATGTATAATGTGCGTATTATATTTGTGATTTTGGCAGTATAATGACATATGTTATTCCTCCAGGGATTAATGACGAGTAGCGGGATTAATGGTCATTATTCCACAAAAGTGTCAGTGTCAAACGGGTAGTGCTTGTGGATTTGTATTGAAAATTATGAGACGGATGAAATTTGTTCATTGAAAATCTCAAATAAATTAATTTGTCGTAAATAAAGTAGAGTATACTACTCGCAATAATGGCTATTATTCCCTCGGAATGTTACTCCCTCGCCGCTAACGCGGCTCAGTTCGTAATAATCCTCGGGAATAATAGCTATCATTATTGACTCGTGGTATAATCTACTATTTTTGACTTTTACTTTCGGTTTACGGGTTGAAAGTTTACTCACCTCCCGTGGGCCGAAAGTAAATGAAATTGTTAATTATTATATTTTTTTAGTTTTAATTCAAATAAAAATTTCAAAATTCGAATGATAGTAGATAAAATAGTATACATACCTCGGTGAAAAGTTTCATCACTATCTCGAGATTTTAGTTAAATCTCGGCTGCGCCTCGGTCTAACTAAAATCTCTCGACAGTAATGAAACCACTTTCTACCTCGGTATGTAAGATTGTAAGATACTATTAAGGTACTGCAGAAAAAAAAATGATTCCCGGCACGGCAAGTTGACTTGAGGGTACCTAATTGGTTACTTGGATCTAGTTGCTGCGGAAGCCAAACACCCTTCAGAATGTTATTTGTCTTTCACAAGACAAAAAACATTGAATGCTCCTGGCCGCCCTGAAGAGGAAACTCTTGCCGTTTAAACTGTCTCAGCCGAGCGAAAAAAATCGTTTTCAAAATCTGTTGTTTAAATAACTATTGTTGTTATATGTTTCTACCTATCATAACAGAGTAAACAAGTTTCTATATGTATATGTAGTATGTAGGTAGAATACACGTTAGTAATATTATGTTTCGTTGATCGAATTTATATAGAACAATAAAATTTCCATAAAAGTGTAATGGAAAAGCTACTCTGAAGCGTTCAACATGGATTTATATCAGATTTCCTACAAAACGCAAAAACATTCAAATTATATTAGCTTGCATGTGGAAAGCGGTATTTCGGCGGTACTTCTTCGGCTCCTACATATCTCAGTGAGGGTAGTTCAAAAATAACTCTTTTTAAAGGTTTTTTTGTGCTCTTCAATTTATTTCTCGTCATATTTTCCCGAAAATTGAGTAGTTTTTGAGTAAAACGTGAATTGAGCAAAAAATGTCAAAAATCCAAGATGGCGGCGCCATTTTGACAATGTTCTCCTAGGGGCAGGTCTGGGGACTTAGTATGTTCATCAGTACCATAAATCCTATCGATTTAGACTAGTCGCAGCTTTATGTTATTTTGTTCCCAATAAAACTATAACTGTCTTGGGGTACCCCCTTCAAGTAAAAATACGAATATGCATGAAAAATGCTTTGTACGTAATAGTTATACCTGACTTACAAAATATAAAGATAAACATGAAAAAAAATATACAGGGTGTGCTTTTTGTTATGATCGATAGGGCACAGTAGGACAATAACTTTTTGCATAGGTACATGTGACCTGAAACTTCTTGTTAAGAAAATACAGTGTTAAAACTTTCGGAAAATTTTGACTTTTTGGCTTTTAGATGCATGCATTGAGCTATTTTGTTCAAATTTACAGAGAGTGTTTGAGATGTTCTCAAACATCTTTCTATAAAATCCGTTTGAGTTCTATTTTTCCAGGACCGGACCTAGAGCGACTTTTATTTTATTAACAGAGTGGAGTGTATCGAACAACGAGATTTTCCTAACAATACATTTGATTATTATTTTTTATTTATTTATTTATTTTTGTTTAAAATTAAACAAGGAATCAAGAAATAATTTTTAATTTGTGAAAAATCCCAGCGGCGTACAACTTTTTCCTTAAAAAAAAAAAGGAGTCGCTCTAGGTCCGGTCTTGGAAAAGTGGAACTTAAATGGAGTTTTAAGAAAGATGCTTGAGAACATCGCAAACACTCTGAAAATTTGAACAAAATCGCTCAAGGCATTTTGAATCTAAAGGTTAAAAGTCAAATTTTCAAAAACTATCCAATATAAGTATATCGATCTTCACCAGAAATTACAAGTTGTCTGTTTTTTATCAACTAAAAATATTAAATGTGCCTAGTTAATTGTTTGGTGATGGACGTTCGATGCTATTTGCAATCGATTCTTTGTAGCCTATAGCGAAGTGGGAAGAAGATGAAATGTGAAATAAGAAAATTATTGACTTCCTACACTTTGCTATTCAGGTACAGAATTGTCAATGGCACAGACGTGTCCTCAAAACAATTGACAGGTTTTATTATTAATTTTTACTGCTATACAGATAACGTGTAACTTCTGTGAAGATCGGAATCCAATCCAAACAAGTAATCTTTTAACGGAGCAACATGAAGTTTGACTCAAAAGACAAATCTCTTCCGAAGAGATATTTTGGCTCTTCCCTCAAAATCTCTCTTACATGTTGGTTTTGAACCAAGAGAGTAATAGCTTTGAACGAAAAGAATAAAATCTTGCCTGAATTAATTTTAGACAATCTATAGGAAGAGAGTTAATGCTTTGGATTAAGAAACATCGCTCTTGGACCTATTCAAAAGCGCGAATCTTTTGACTGAAAGTCATATTCATTTCGTTTAAGAGATCCTTTTTTTCAATGTGTATAATAAATAAATACAAATTCAGGGCCGTCGTTAGGCTTCTGGCTGCCCCGGGCAAAGAAATGCAAACCTGCTTTGCCACATGCTCGCCACAGGCTCCACCGGAGGTGGAAATTATTCTGTGGGTGCCATGAATGCCACGCCCAAGAACGTTAATTTTGAGCCAATAAAATTTATAATATAAGTAATGTCTTTGGCCGCCTGTGTCCTGTGTTTGGGTTTACAAAAGAAATGCAAACCTAAATATTATGCAGAAAAACAGAATAAAATAAAATGTTATTGGGATAATGTTTTTTTTTTTATTTTGATCTTTTTTTTTTGTTGCCGTTTTGCCGCTCCTCTAAGTTTGCCGCCCTAGGCGACCGCCTAGTTCGCCTAATGGTTGCGCCGACCCTGGTAAAAAGTAACACATTCTCGGCCGACGGTGTAAGTTGATGGGCGAGGCGCAGCCGAGGCCGGCAAACACCGAAGGCTGAGAATGTGCTTTTCCACAGAAATACACATACTATTTTTTCGGCGATCGGTTAAATATCTGTTTAGTGGTTGTCTTTTTGTTCAAATTAATCAGCAGTACGAGAATCACTTTCCCGGCCTAGGTCGGAAAAGTGATTCCCGTATTGTTAATCATTGATTCCCTAGCAACTATTGAAACATGATTAAAATACCAGAATCTTGAGTTTTGCGACCTGTCAACCGGTCAAAAATTCTGACATTTCTTGGAAGGTTTTTGTGAAAATATGGACATTTCTACCCTGGCCTCGGGCACAAACAGTACTGAAAATTATAGGCAGTACCAAAATACATCGTTTGGGGAACCTCATTTGACTTGCAAATTACTTTGGAGGCGGTTTAAAGGGGTAAAACTGATAATTGCGATTCATCGACAAAAGAGAATTTGTGCAAATATGGACATTTCTACCCTAGTCTCGGGCACAAACAGTACTGGAAATTATAGGCAGTACCAAAATACATCGTTTGGGGAACCTTACTTGACTTGCAAATTACTTTGAGGGTGGTTTAAGGGGGTAAAACTAATAATTGCGATTCATCGAAAAATAGTATATTGTGTATTTAGGTGGAAAAGTGCCGACGGTGTAAGTTGACGGGCGAGGCGTAGCCGAGGCCGGCAAACACCGAAGGCCGAGAATGTGCTTTTCCACCGAAATACACATACTATTTTTTCTGCATTCGGTTAAATATCTGTTAAATGTTTGTCTTTTTGTTCCAATTGTTCAGCAGTACGAGAATCACTTTCCCGGCCTAGGCCGAAAAAGTGATTACCGTATTGTTATTCATCGATTCCTTAGCAACTATTGAAAAATAATTAAAATACCAGAATATTGAGTTTTGCGATCTGTCAAGCGGTCAAAAATGCTGACATTTCATGTCAATCGCAGAAAAAGGGTTTTTGTGAAAATATGGACATTTCCACCCTAGTCTCGAGCACAAACAGTACTGAAACTAATAGGCAGTACCAAAATACATCGTCTGTATGACATCCTAGAACTATACTCAGTGGGCTAAACAAAGTCACCCTTGTTTGGGTCCCGGGTCACATAGGCATAAAAGGCAAAGAGGAGGTGGACCAGCTGGCGCGTGAATTTAGCAACACTGTCTTTATTGGGAAAGAGCCCGCACTTGGGTTCCTGTCTGGTGAAAACCAAGATCAGGAACTAGTCCAACAACCAGTTTCAAGACGAATGGCTAGATCAAGAGTCTAGGAGCTTCACAAGGTCCCTCAAACTGCAAAGAGGCAAAAAGCCTCCTCGAACTAAACAGAAGCCAGCCAAGAACCATCACAGGCGTCCTGATGGGGCACTGGTTGGTCAGATACCACCTGCACAAAATCGGAATCAGTAAAGAGACGGAATTCAGGTTCTGCAACAAGGGAACTTGGATGGAACTGGAACCCGATGAAATAGAGCATGTCCGACCTGAGCGGGTCTGCTCCTTTCTCAAAAGTTGCGGGCTCTTAAGGTGAGACAGGGCCCTGCACCAAGAGGGGGATAGCAAAATGGGTCACATGCGCGCCTATGTGATGCCTGAAAAGGCTCCCCATTCAAATCAATCAATCAAAACACAATCATTATCATCTAATCTTACCTTTATTTGAGGAGAATATCCAGTCTCCAGCCATTTTTCAATGCCAGGAAATCTTTGACAATGAGCACAAACCAATCCGTGAAAATAAACCGCTCTTTGATCAGCCAGCAGCTTCAGCAATTCTTCCTTATTATCCGGAATTGGATAATCTTTTTCCACTTCGAAAATCGGAACAACGAAGACTTTTTTCGGGTCTGGTTTCGGATACTTGGCTACAAATTCTAGGAATTGCTTCGACAAGTCTGAAAAAATTTGGTTTTAAAAAGTTGCAAGGGCATCAAAATTGAATCTCACTTTTGCTAGGCATCAATTCTATGTCGGATACGAGGACGTATTTGGTCAGTGCTGACGTTCTTGCAGTGTTTCTCATTATGTTTACTTGATAAGCTGAACTTTCGTCGTAATCTTTGTAAATAGGAATTTTTGCTGAATCCTTAAAATCATATGCTTATTGAAACAACAATTAAATAAAACAAAAATTTACCAATGGAGCACAAGTACCGGGCCTTTTAAAAGTGATATTTTGCATCGAAAAAGGTATTAATTTGTGAGTTACAATATGAATGGAAACTCTGTGCATTTCCGGTTCGCAGTAGCAAAACTGATTGATTTGTTCCAGGAAAAACGCCACGTCTATATCTGGAACATACGCCGCCACAGTTACCAGCCCATCCCACCTCCTAAAACAGATCAATGAATATTTGTTTGTTGAATTATTATTGGTACTTACCTGAGTAATTCCGGTATAAAATTGGCAAAATTGGCCGTCATGTGAGTACAATAAGTAACTTGCGGTACTTTTTTCACCCAATAAGCTTCAGTTATATTATAGAGTACCCGGTATTGGGATTCTTCACCTTCTTGGGGTGGAAATGCCAAATCTTTGTTAGAATAGTTCAATTCGAAGGGCAATTTATAGTTGAAGTTACAATAGGTTTGGTTTATTGGAGCTGGAAGGTTGGATTTCAGGAATGCTAAAATAAACAAAAAGACTTAAGTAGCTACGAAATAACATTGTTGTATTTTACCTCCAGGCATTTTTTCATAATCAGCTAATTCCAGTTCATCGTTTTTCACTGATGGGGGTTCAGTTTTTTCGGTAACTTCCTCTTTTAGAGGTGCATCAGTTACTGATAGTGCTGCAATATTATTATTTGTGCCTTCTTTGTCGATTTTCTTTTCTTGTGCAACCTTAAAAGCACACGGTCAAAAAATAATTTAGCTCCAATTCCAAACTCTTACTTGATCAAAGATATCATCGTTCGATCCATCGTCTTGTGATATGTTGTTTCTGGTTGCAACCAGTAAAAATATCAGAGCTACGAATGCGATGATTGTAAATTTGAAAAATTTGGATGCCCGTCCTATTGTCATTGTTCACATTACAGTCTTACAACTATTTCAGTCTGAAATTTTTATACTTACTTATTAGTTTAGTGACGATAAAATTGTGATGAGTAAAAAGCAATACATGATTGATTATGATGATGCTTTCATCTTTTAGGACCCCAACTGAGCAAAACAAGCTTTACGTATGGTTATTATCAAGGTTTCAACATTCATAACTATAAAACAATAAAACCCGGAAGTCGTTTTTTGTATCAGGAGCTGAGAATCTTCTCAACTTTCTGAGAAAGGAGGATTTTTCCTAATTGATAGGTACCATCGTCACCAAAAGTAACTGGGACAGCATCACATTAGCTCTTGTCCTATTATTAGTATATTACAATCCGAGACAGGAAATGCTTCATTACTGGTCGAGAGGTTTAATAGTTTATCGAGACGCGTAGCGTCGAGATAAACTGAACCTCGAGACAGCAATGAAGTTTCCCGTCGAGGGTTGTATACTATTTTATTTTTAACCATAATTTCTTGAAAAAAAAAAATTCGGGGCAACCAAATAAGGTCGGCAAATGAAGAGGAAAATGAGAACGGGAAATATTTCCCTGCTCCCTTTTCCGTCCGTGGACGGGAAATGAGGTCGGAAAAAAATGTCCCATCCTCACTTCCCGTCCTGGGACAGGTAATGGAGCAGGAAAATGAAAAGACAGAAATGTGACATTTTCAAATTTTTGAAAAGTTAGTAATGACAACATTTCATATATGGTTAAAAATAAATGAATTTTATTGTCAAATATTTGTCAAACTATGCATTGAAATGAATGACAGTAGAATGAGTCCAGGAGATTATTATGCATTATTTGTGTCCCAGTTACTTTTGGTGACGATGGTACATATAGGTAATATCAATGAGACGTTGCATTACTTTACCTTTAATGATATTTCTCAAAAACTGTAAATCAATTTGATTTTCTTAGAACATTAGTTCAAAAAATGGTTGGGGGCATTATATCGTTAAAATTCATAATCAATAAATTAGAAAATACAAAATTAACGCCGTTCCTTATTTTGTTTTATTGATTAGACATTTTCTTAATTAATGATAAGCAGCAATTATTATTAAATGATATTTTTAGAAGAATGTGGATGCGATGAGTATATTCAAAATTTCAATTTCAACCCAAGTTGCGAAAATCGTATACACATAACTGAGAAATGTTGATTTGCTAAGGCTAATTTGGAGAATTCCTTTCAATGAAGTAGTAAAAGGGTTGGAATAGCCCTTTGCCTATCTACTCAATACTAATATTTGCGACCAACATTAGAGTGAGAGAACAGGAGGGATCCGTGAGATTTTTCTGCGCTTACTAGCGCTATCTCACTGAGGGTTAGAGTGAGAGATATGGGAGATCCAATAGTTTTTTTGCCCCCCAAATCTTCTTTCTACTTCATTGATTCCTCTACTAATTTTACTGAATAAACTAACCGAAACCGAAATTTAATCAATTTGTAATGATCTATTCGAGGATCTATTATAAGAAGTGAAGTAAGTAAATGTAATTTAAACACATTATTTTCAACTCAAATCAATAAATTCAATTAAAAAAAACTACACAAAGGCATTCACTTACTGCGTTTTTAAACACTTAATACCACTAACACGATCACAATTAAAGTTGTAGTAAAAAACACACAAAAATTTAAATTATTGTTGTACTGCCATAGTAATACCCAAACCCAATAGGTATAGGATCTACCTAAAAACTGACATATTCTAATAAAAACTATGCAACAAAGTTTTATCTATACATCATAATCCATTACCAAATACCTATACGTATTTTTTTCAGAGATAACACTGGTAAACAATTAAATTATTGTCTTGGCATCTGATGCAAAGGAAACCTCGTAAGGTATTTTTACGATTTATCTAAGCCTTTGAAAAAAGAAAAGACAATACCTACCTGAGTTAGGCATAATTAAAATTTAGATACATATTTGTAATATTTAATTTTTTTGATCCTGGGTAATTAATCATTGTTCATTGTAAGTGATAATATGTGGACTTCAAAGTGTGCAAAGAGCTCTTGACATGGTCGAAAGATGGCGAATTAATATTCAACGGCTCTTGGTAGATCCGGACTAGACCAAAGTAGTACCTAGTACCATTAATAAAGCAAAGAAACGTGGGTTTGGAAGGGCTCGCGCTCTCTGGATCGAGACTTGCTCCATCCGGTTTGGTCAAGTATTTAGGAGTCATCATTGACTCCAGGCTGACCTGGAAAGATCACGTTAACAGGGTCGTCCAGAGGGGCAGTCTTTGGGTCTGTAGAATATCCATCGGGCGCATCTGGGGCTTACAACTTTACATAGTCCACTGGCTTTACTGATAAGGCCAATGATCTCGTACGGCAGCTTAGTTTGGCGGATCGCGCTTAGCAAATCTGTTGAAATAAGTTTAATAGTATATTACATGCGGGGAATGTGAAAATTACATATATGGTTTAATAGTTATTTATGATATAAGTGTTAAAAGTACATTTTTAAGGCGCGCATGTGAAAGTTTGCAGAATGAGCAAAGCGAATTCTGCAATTCACATAAGTGCCTTAAAAATACTTTTAGCACAAATATCATACAATATTTTTTCTACAAACGGCAATAAAAAGCAATAACCAGTAACAAATTGGATTTTTAAATGAATAATAAATTGGAAACATCTTTCCTACATAAAATTATTGAATTTGACATTTGTTAAAAAATCCAAACAACCAGCACCTTGTTTTAAAGGTAATGAAATGTCTTGTCAGTTTCTTGAAAGTCTGTCGGGGTCAGTAATGCTTTTTGCTTAAAATGCAACAAAATACAGAAGAAAAAGAGGGTTGCATCGATCCCTTGAAAAATATAGATGAGGCGGCCAATCGGGCTACCTCAGTTGTTCAAATTTCACCATTAATATCAATGTAAATAACTAAAAATACACTTTTTTTGACGTTCGCTCTCAAAATTTGATGTTTCATTTTTAACACTAGTGCTATAAAGACTTTATGGCACTAGTGCGATAAAGTAACATTTTTAATGCTACGGGGGGGTGTTAAAAATTGCATTTTTAACCCGTTTGTAGAAAATATAAAATATCGTATTGCCACTCCACCTAGTTTTACCTTCACATATCAATATCCTCTTGTTGTTGACTAGGCAACCCACCTGGTAAAAAAAATCATTGTCACAGAATCATTGTCACAGAATCATTGTCACAGAATCATTGTCATTACTGCAGTGAAGGAAGTCACATCGTGTTTCATTACCGCTTCTATTTCTACATGTTAGCTCCTTTCACACAGTATTTATTATCAGGTTAGGGGCCCAGATTATTGTTTCGCAATTCCGACTCGAGAAGTGCAGGAATAGTCGTTCCTATTTGAATAATGGCAGTCAACTATTCACAAAACCTTCCGTGATTGTGTGGCCGCGAAAATTTCGCAGAATGGTCATTCGCGTTGCAAAACGCTTTCGTGTTGGAAGGATTATCCAAGTGTCTGGATGATTCAAAAACCGATGCAATATTAATTGCAAAAATGATTTCAATCCCTCCATTTATGTGCACGTGAAAACTGCAAAAAGTGCAAAGGATGTTTGGGACATACGTTGCAATGTGCGTTATATATGAAGATAATGAATTCACACGTAAAATTGGATTATTACGGATCCTAATCTCGATTAGAGAATTGTGATTCCATATATGGAAGATTATATAAAGAAAACTGTCGTTACGTGTCAAAAATTACAAAGAACAGGGTTTGATATCAGTGAGGAATGGATTGGTTCGATTCTTTTGGCAGGATTACTAGTGGAAAAGTTTGATCCGATGATAATGGCGATCGAACATTCTGGAATCAAAATCATTACGGACATCAGAACAAAATTATTAGTGCGCGACACGCTACCTCAGTGTGAACTTGTTCATTTTTTGAAATATAATGTTAAATAGTACATTAAAATACAAGTTTCATAACTCGCCCTTTAGAAAACTCGCCTCCGGCTCGTTTTCTAATATAGGGCTCGTGCGATAAAATGTCTTATGAAACAAATATTTTATACTATTTTTTCTATTTTGGTATTGTTTAATTAAAGAAAACAAATTTTTCTTGGAAATTTTATTCTCATATTTCCTGATTTCATATGTTTAGGTTGGTAACACTACATGCCAAATATAGAAATCTTCTATTTTAAAATCGCGAATGACAGTTCGATGGCCATCAGTCAGCCAGTGTTACCAACCTCCGATAAGTAAAAAAGGAGTGTCACAAAGAGCTTCTTTTCGAAACTACTTTTAGTGTTGAAAAGACTTCGATATGACACCAAAATAGAAAAACTATTTTTGGGCATCACTACAACGGCATCATGCAACGCTCACCGCTCGAGCGGTGTCAATGTGAACGCGCACTTAAACTTCATTGTCGGTAATGCACAGGGTACTGCGTTTGCAAGCGGATTTCGGAGTGGCTACATAAAAGCTGGCAACAGTGGCAACCTGAATGGAAAATTCTCTAAGGCTGATGGTAAATAGATTTAGCAGCAAGTGCACACATTACTGTTTTGGAAGATTACTTATGGCTGATCAAAGTAAGATGCCAGTAACATGCAGAGGAAATATAAGTGCAGTCCAGAGTGTAAGTCAACTCAGCAAAAATGGTTTTACTGTAAAGTTTAATGCTGAAAATTGTAAAATTTACAGAGGAAATGATCTTTCAGCTACTGCCGTTGATTGACAATGTATAACGTCTTAATTTTTAGCAAAAAACAGAACGCCACAGAACACATATCCTCACGGATAGAAAAAAAAAGCTTAATGGAGGGCGGGGCCTAAAAAAAAAGCTTCGGATCGCATCCGCTTGGGGACGCTGGAGTAAAACACAATTACAGGTGCGGAATGAAAGCCATCAGAAAATATACAGGTCACTGTTTACTTTTGCTTTTGCAATGAGATTTAATTTACCTCGTTTACCTGTAACAATGCTGTTACCTATATGTCAAAAAAATATATGTCAAAATAATTCTGAATGAGAATTTGTCAAAGCTGGATTTATAACTTCCGTAACGTAGGCAGTAAGCAATAAGAAGTAAGGACGTATGCCGTAAGAAGTATCAGTAAAAACATCTTGATTTATAGCTGAATTTGCTGTGACAGTAAAAACTTACGCGTGCGCAATATGATTTTATTTGAACCAATAGAAATCGGTGATAATCTATTAATAGGCTTTCAATTTCACTCATTTTTAACCGAAAACTAATATTGAGCTCAATCACCAATGCCCAAAACTTGTCTAAGGCCCAAAACAATTCCAGAACCTCACTTTTTAAAACCAAAACAAAAACAAAGCCAGCGGCCATTGCCCTCTGGGGGAGTGACAAGCGTTACTTTTTAACACGAGAACCGACGATTGCGTCCGAATCCGTATCAGTAACCGTAAGAAATAAAAATGAACCATTTCATACTGCTTACGGCTTACTGCATACTTGTTACTGAAAGACTATAACCAGGAGCATGTATTTGCTATAAGTTCATTTTTCTTACGTCTTACGGATACTGCTTACTGCTTACGTTACGGAAGTTATAAATCCAGCTTTAGTGTTGATGTGCATTTTAAATCCAGAAAAATGTTTATTGAATTCAAAAAAAAAAATCAGATCTTACACAAAACCCGCGAGTGGCTAAATTCAGCTGGTGTAGGACATTCCACCACGGTACCTACAGTGTAGCTACCGTGGTGGAATAAGTAGAAAAAGCAGTGTTAAGTTGAACAGGATTTGCCAAACTACTGGGCATTGGCATTAGTGAATCGTAATCACCGCATCCGCGGCGGTGCAACATTTTGGTGAATGGTGAACACGCGGGACACAAACACAAGAAGTTTTGGCCGTTTTTGCTCTACTCGGAAGTAGAAGCCGTCGAATCGAATTCGACTATAATGAGGAAAAATCATTGGGAAAAATTAATATTGAAAAAATTGACATTGGGTGAACTATTTTGACAGTTTATTTGATTACAGAAACCTATATTGTAAATAGTTCGGATCGCATCCACAGCGCCGTGACGGCGCATTGTTCCCCAAAATTTTATTAGGCAGTTTGCCTTCTATCCGTGAGGATATGTATTCTGTGCAGAACGCTGTTATTTAACCAGCGCCAATACTTGGCATAGACGTCTTGTACACATCAATTTTACTGACTTGAAAAAAATGAGCAATGGTGTTGTTAATGGTTTAGTTTGTCAAGGAAATATTGAACGAACAAATTGTATTGAATGTTATGATGGAAACCAAGCAAGATTACCGTTTCATAGTGATACTAGAGCCAAAGGTTTGCTTGAAGTTGTGCATGCGGACCTATGTGGACCCATGTAGGTAGCTTCGATTGGAGGTTGTAGATATTTTCTATCGAGGACGATTTTTCCAGAATCCAGAATGTGTGTAAGAAACAAAGATGAGGCTCTGAAGTGTTCCAAAGAATTCAAAAGCATGGTCGAAATCGAAAAAGAATTCATAAATAAAGTTTTCCTACGACTGCCTCTGAAAATGGAGTTTTTCGCACGCTAGGCAAACTCTGAAAATAGAGTTTTTCGCACAGCGTGCGAAAAAGTTTTTCTCACGCTCCTCAGCGTGCGAAAAAGTTTTTCACACGCTGCTTATCAGTTTTCTATTTATTTTGGTCCTATCATCCTAACATGACATGACATAAATTGCGATTGTCACCAATTTCTGATGTTGATGATTTGTTTTCTAACAAATAAAAATTACATATTTGGTTGTTCTATTTTGCAGTTGTAGGAAAAGCATTGTAAAAAACTCGTTTGAAAACCTTTTTTCGCACT